TCACTTGTTCGAATCTCACTGTTTTTTTTTTAAACATGAAGAAGACTGAAAATATGATCAAAACATTTGTTTTCTATTAAATATTTAGTACAGGACTGTTAAGGTTTTTTGAGTGTTAATTTATATGCATTCTTGTATTTGTGTATGAAGGTTTTTTAATTTAATATAATTATTTTTTTAGACACTGTTCTTTAGTACTCTGGTCATCTAAAAATGATGGACAGGGTATTGAAGAACCTAGATTCCAGAATAGATCATTTTTGATAAAGCAGTGTTGTAAAGCTATTCAAATATAATAGTTTATTTCAACAGAGGAAATTGACTCAGGATATTCAAAAATTTTACTGACAACAGATATATTTTTCTAGTAGTAATGTGTAATTATGAAAGTTGGACATTGCCAAATATAATTAACAAGTGCCTAAGATCCTTCAGATGTAGCAAGATGGGAACAAACTATTAATATTAATNATATTATATATAGATTAATATAATTAATATTATATATATTATAATATTAATTCATGTTTTGTTGCCATTTTATTCACCTTTAAATTTGTATCCTTACAAGGGCACACTTGCACATTATGAAAAAAAATTTAAGAAAACTAAGTAATTTTTAATTCAAATTATCAAATGATGAAAAAGTATAGGTCTCATAGGCACCACTCTTCAAAAAACATGTTGTCTTTGGCAACTTTGCCATCTAATACAGAAATCAAATATAATGATTTAAAACTTGATGTAATTTTTTAACATAAATATGTTAAAAGCTTACAAGTAACTAGAAACAAACATATTTAATGTTAGAAGTTTATGAAATTAATAATAATCAATGAAAAAATGTTTGGAACAAAGATAAATTTTAACCAGGAACAATAAATGAAATTATGCAGTTCACAAATACTAGAAGGTTGATTATCTGGAAAATTCTACAGGATTAACAGATCTTACTCTTCCAAGTAACCACATTTGAACCTACCATACCGTATCATTACTTCATATTGTGTACAAGAAAATTGATTGTTGATAAGTGATTGAAGTTGAAACAACTGGATATCTATTTTTGCCATTAATATAATAACAGCATGTTTTTTTTAACCTTACTGGACCAGTTTACTTTCTTACTTTTTTGAAGTTACATTTGATTATGTTTTTGGCAACTTTACTCTTGAATATTTATTATTTTAAGAGTCGTACCTATGAAATCTATACTTTTTTCATTTGGTAAATTTGGTAAGTTGAATTAAAACATTTTAGTTAGTTTTGCCAAATTTTTTTTCTTGATGTGAATGGTTCCTTTTTAGTAGCAAGTAAACACCTTTACATCTGATTTTATGCAGGATTTTCTGCATACCTCTTACAATTGCTATGCCGTGACTTTCCTAGCAATTAGCTTACACATTGTTTTGAAAGAACTGATGTCTTTATTTGTTTTTTATTGTCTAAAATGTGTTATTTTAGTGTGTTCAAAAGGCAAATAGGTTGTGCTTGAGGTAAAAAGACATTTTTCTGTTCTACAAAATCATTATTTAGGCTTCTTAGGTAGTTAGTGACTTTTCTAATGTAGTGTGATAACCATATCAGACCAGAATAAAACCCCTCTTCTGTTAATGAGAGATGACTCTTTTTAATGCATTCATTTACGTGCCAGTGGATATGTAGGATTCTGGCATTGCTGCTGTTTTATCAATGGTTTAACATAACAAGTATTTCTTGAGAATTTCTTCTATTCTCTTTTGGTATATTTGATTATTTTTGTTAGTTTTGTTCTGTTATTTTTGTCTAGCTTTTGCATAGTGATATATTATCACTTGATCAATAGGCACATGGCTTTTGTTAATTTAACAGAATTTAACAGGACTCATTTTTCAAGTCATTCAACAATTTATTTTTACTTATTGTTTCTGGTCTTCACTGTAGTGAGGTATAGGACTTCCTCTGCAGATTTTTTTCCTAACTTCTTTACCTTTAACCAATATAACGTTTGGTATGGAGTACCAGTTGCATTAGTAGCACAATGTTCTGATAAGTTTGGGTTGCACTTAAATACGTGAGAGAGAATTGGTAGACTTCAGATTTTTTTTTTTTTTTTCAGAGAATGGATATCTGGGCTTTTCATATATTTGGTGCTTTTTGATTTGTCATGCCTTCTAATAATATGATAGCTGACTTTGCTGTTACTCCTGCAAAGTAGTAAATCTTTAATTTATTACAGTTAGCCACATTGTTTTAGTAATGGCTAATTCTGATTGCTAAGTCCTCATTTTCTTACTCTGTTTCAAAGTACTTAGAATTTTGAAATAAAATTTTGCATAATGACTCAGTTAGAAACATGTTACAATAAAACACAAGCAATATGCAAATGATATGCCCATACATGACATACCAATATTAAAAAAAAACAGGTCTTGTGACATCTTAGGTATCTGTTAAAATCTTTTGATTTAGAATAGATTTGTCTGTTAGATTAAGTTCTACTTAACCAATGTTCTACCAGCCAAAAGTCATAATTTTGATATATAAATAGTTTTAGATGACTAGTTTATAAATATAAATAGTTTAAATTAGTATAAATATTATTTAATGTTCAGGAAATAGAAAATATAAGATTCCTAAGGTAGGTAGGTAGATTCAGTCTGCTGAAATTGTTTTGGGAACATTTCAAGATTTTATAAGATGCAGGATGATAATAGTAGTTATACATAATACTGTGTGTATGTGTGTATATATATACACTCACTGCCAAAAGTTAAGCACGGAGCAATAAACTGCGAAAAAATCGACAAATACAGCTGTGATTGACACAAAATGCAGCAGGACAGTAGCAAATATGTTTAAGCATGAAACAACACAGAGAGTTACATAGAAAAATGAAAACAATATTGAATTTTCATAAAGTATAAGATGAAATCATATTGGAATCATTAACAAAACGATGTTTAAATCCAAAACAAACAAACAAAACCGACATTAGTAGGGTAAATGGTCACCCCTTATCCTTACACAAAGTTTACAGCGTGTAACCATGCCTACCATGAGGTGATCAATTACTCCAGAGTCAAATAAGTGCCATTCCTCCTGTAGAGCAGTTTGCAACTATGTGAGAGTGGCAGGGGGTGGGAAACATGCACACACAGCACGGCCGAGGGTACCCCAAAGATTCTCAATGGTATTGAGGTCTGGCGAATACGCCGGCCAATCCATACGCGCTATTCCTTCACTCTCGAGGTAGTCGTCGACGAAGGCAGCTCTATGGGGTCGTGCGTTATCATCCATTAAAACAAAAGCAGGACCAACTGCTGCAGCATACAATTTCACAGTGGGTTCGAGGACTTCATCCCAATACCGGACAGCCATCACAGAACCCCCTCGATACATGTGCAGGTCGGTGCGATATCCCAATGAAATGCCTGCCCACACAATAATGCTTCTACCTCGGAATGCGTGATGCTCGATGATGTTCTGGGGTCGATTGCGTGTGCCTTTTTTTCTCCACGCTCTTACACGTTTGTCATCTGGCTCCAGGGGAAATCGCAACTCATCCGTGAACATAACGTTGTCCCAATCAGACACAGTCCAATTCACATGTTGCCGACACCACTTTAATCGTGTGCCTCTGGATTGGACGGATAGTGGAACACAAACTCGTGGTACCTGGGCGTACAGTCCGTTCATGTGTAGCCTTTGGCGCACAGTAGTAGCAGATATCGTTTTACCAATGGCTGCTGCAACCATCGATGTCACACGTGTAGAGGTTGCTCTTCGATTCCGCTTGGCTACAAGAGCAATATAGCGATCTTCTGCAGGGGTCGTAACTCTTGGGTGACCGGCCACAGGTCTTCGGACAACTGTTTGGCTTGTTTGGAATTGTTTTCATAACCGTGAAATGACGGAATGATGAACGCTGAAGAAAAGAGCAACATCTGTGATTGATTGTCCTGTTTCAAGGCATCCCACACACTGCCAGCGCTCACTGTCTGTTATTCGTCTTCTGGAAGTCATAGAAACACGTCAGTCATGCACAGTAATTGTACAACAGTTCTCCACACTTTTTCTCGGCACTTACATGCAACTCCTCTCACACTTCAGAAGGCTGGCTTCTTATACGACTGCCTGTTTTGCATATTTTGTGATACGTAACCTTGATTGATAGTAACGTAACATATCTGCATGCTTCCACCTACCTCTGCAGTGAATTGCAGCCTGTCAAATGCAGATTGCTTTCCGGACATGAACATTTTCTGCTCCGTGCTTAACTTTTGGCAGTGAGTGTATATATATTTGTGTTTATATGTCTAAAATTAAGTAGAGAATTTATTTCATGTAATTTAACAATAAAGACATTATTATTGTAATAATCTTGTATATTAATGCTTTATTTATTCCATCAAATTTTCACTTAACATTTTGTATCCCAAGTTTCTATGTTGTTCGTAAGTTTAAATATAAATTTTAACATTTTCATTTTTATTAGTTTTGTTAATTTAAATATTATTATTGAATTGAATAAATATTAAGCTGATTGCCAAATATCAAATCTTTTGATTTTGAATATTTGAATCAGTGAAATTAATTCAGTGGTATTTTAGACCATTTTAATTTTATCAATGACACAAATGATTGATTCAGTATTTGTCCATCAGTTTATTTCAGCTAGAGCAAAGCATAAAAATAAGTTGTGAAAATGACCATGCGAGCTTATTAATAGTATTTTCAATTTTTTTATACTTTAATCTAATTAGATTGGTATCCTGGTAGAGTAATTTTAAACCCAAACTAAATATTTGATTTATATATACTTTGAAGATATTTAAATTTTTTTCATAAAAAGTGTAAACTAGTTAATGATTTAAGCAAACAAAAAAAAAATCAAATATAATGAAAGACTTCATGATATTTGAATTTTTTATTAAAGAATAGTAATTTTTAAATTGTTTTTAAGATATTTTAATAAACTTTATTGATCATATTTAATAATTTTAATTTTTTTATTATAGATTGGCAAGATAATGATTCAAGAATTTTTGCTAATAAATTCTCTAATAATACAGATAACAATATTATGAATAATTGTACAGATTGGTCAACATATGGCATAAATGTCTCTCCAAAATCTCCAGATGATGAATTAGGTAGATGAAATATAATTTTAACAAAAAATTTTGAATTTATATATTGTAGGTTTAATAATTTTTTTAATTATAGGGTTTGATCCATGGGATGAATCTTCCAAAGGGTTGGCAGATTTGTTAGAAAAAGAAGCAGTTCAGAGAACAGAAAATAACTTAAGTGCCACACACAGCAAAATATCCCTAAAACAAATGAATGTACCTGTAAGCCGAACGAATAATGCATTTTCTAATCATTTTTTGGAAACATCACAGATTCCTCAGAGAAGGATAGCACCACCACCACCAGGATTTACAACAAATCATCTTAACAATTGTACTTCTGTGCCAAGGCCCCCGTTTGGTAGTTGTGAACGTTTGTTTGGAGGAGGTAATATTTATTATTTTTTAATTTAATATAAATTATTTTCATAAATACATAATTTAATAATTTATATTGAAACAGTAGACTGTTTTCAAATTTTAATGTTTTTGCTCTACTATTCAATATAATAATTGAAAGTCAAATGAAAATTTTACAAGTGCAACATAAATCAGAACATTAGAGAACAGACTTTACACAGCTGTAATTTACATGAGTCATCAGCAGTTACTCTCAAAACATCCTGTAGGCAGCAGTGCTGATCATGAGCTGCATAATATTATGGAGCATTGTAAAGATGTCAATAATACTAGAAGTTTTTAATATTTAACAAATGATTATATATATAATCATTTAACAAATGATTATATATATATTTAATTTAACAAATATTTAACAAATGATTATATATTTAACAAATGATTATATATATTTATATATCCCATGTGTGTGTTAGCTTTTCTTTCACTTAACATCTCAGGATAGGGATAAAGATTAAGAAACAAAATTTAGGGTGGTGGCTTGTTTATGAGGGCATTGATGATATTAAATTTTGGCGATGTAAGGTTGAGAGGGGTAGGACGTAATGAAGATGTTATTTTTTATTAATTAACATTTACACTTTTTTTTTAATGAAACTCACTTCTACCCTCAAAATTAACCTTTTTGTGATTTTATAGTAATTAAAAAAAGTTTTTTGTAATAAAATCTGATAATAGATGTCACCCTACTCTCTTATAATATAAAATACCCCATTCTTAATAATATAAAAGCTTTTTTATAAATAAAAATTCAACAGCCAGGAAAGTTATGCAACTTTTGTTGCTAGATTTTTTAGGTAAAAGAACAGAGAACAATAGTTCATAAATCATTTTTTTTGATACAAACTTTTTTTGTACTATTTTCAAAGTTGAACAGATCAAAATACACACTTTGAATTTGCCTGTTTTCACACTTTTTTTTTATCACACCTTGTCCTACTAAATGGCAAACTTTGGTGGAGGTAATTTTTCATTTAAGAGAGAAGTTTTGGTGTGTTACCTGTATAAAACATACGGCCTGCTTGACATCTGTTTGTACACCCAGGAGTAGAGCACTGTGTTTATTATGTGGCTGCTTATTTCAGGCAGCCAACACAAAAATTTGGCTAAAAATGTTTCTTTGATTAATAAATGACCACTGTCAGCTTAGAATGATGTAAAACTGAAATTCTTATATTGGAATGAAATGTAAATTACATATTCAGAGCTTTTATAATAGAATAATAATTTGAAAATTATAGAAAAAAAATATAAGACATGGTAAATTAAAATAAATGTTCATTATTTTTTTTAATTTATTTATTACAGTTAATTGATTTATAGCAGATTTTGTTACCTCTTACTGAAAGAAGAGAAACTGAAGGATTTTAATATCTAAATATTGTTAATTTCATATCCATTTTGAATATTAATAATATGATACTAATACAGTAGAACCTCAAACTCGGCTCTCGATAACCCGGCACTCCGGATAACTCGGCCACACCCTGGCAGGGCAAAAAAATCCTTAGTTAATTAATTTTCATTATAGACAACTTTATAAAAGTATAAAAGCTCTCATAAAGTATTTTTATGAGGTCTGTCTTATCAGGTAAATTACTGTACACAGTGTATTCATTAATTTTCATTTTCATGTAGTAAAGGCTCTATGCTTTCATAAAGTACGTACTTTTCCTTTGTTTAAGGATAATTGAGCAGTTTATTCTCTGTTGTATTCTCCAGCAAACAATACATACAAGTACAGTACACTCTTTTCTGAGGAAACACGCATACTTATCCTTTTTTAACCCCATTCCCGATAACCCGGCATTTTCACAAACTTGGCCACCCTTCGGTCCACATTAGGCCGAGTTTTCGAGGTTCTACTGTACATAGATGTCTACAGTAATTGTTTCAAACTACTTATTGGATTATTATTCCATAATTCAATTAACATAAGCTTATTTTATATGATGCTCATTTTAGCATCTACGGCCTTGTTTTTTGTGGCATTTGTATATCCGCTTTAAAAAAGACATCACTTTTATGCATTTATTCTCTTGAAGATTATTCTAATAATGAAATTATTTGTAAATGTGAATATAAATATGAAAATATTACATATATACAAATATTATATATGTTACTGTGAATGACCAATATCTGGGGAATGTCAACATTCTCTGGTGAATGTCTGGTGTAATATCAACATTCTCTAATTTTGGTCTTTCACAGTAACATATATATACACTAATAATACTAATATTGTATACAATTAAGTGTTGTTTTTTATTAATGAATTAAAAATCATACATTTTTAGGAGCACCAGATCATTCAAATTCTCCAATGGTATCTGTAATGAATACACCTCGCAACCATCATGCAATAGTCAATGGGCCACACAATTGTTATCAAGAAAGAAGTTTACATCAACATATGAGTTTATTAAATCATTCAAAATCTGTTGCAGCTCCTAATATGTCATCATTGAGGCATAAGGTAAAGTTTATTTAATTTATTATTCTTGTATTAAAATATAAAATCAATTTCTTTAATTAAATTATACAGTTGACATTCAAATAAGTTAGACTTTGTTATGTTGAATTTCTCATTATGTTAAATTTAATTTTATCCCAATATAACCTATAAATTTAATGTATTTTGTGTGTTTAAGTTGAAATGTCTTCACTAGCTTGAAATTTATTTATTATTTGATTTCATGTACTTTGTGTTGTTTTTCAAGGGAATACAGTCTATTACTGTATTAACACAAACAAAAATGATTAGGTTCACTTGATAATACAAACTTGTTTTACGTATTTTGACATATTGTCCCTAAATATATTAAAAAAAAAAAAACTAACAGTACTTTGTGTCTAAGATAACAATTTTATTCTTAAGTAGCAAATTGGAAAATTAAATCTTATGGATAGTTGTTTTCTTAAATTTTTAAAATTATTTTGAAAATATATAAATACTGTATAACAAAACATCTGCATTTTGACAGCTCACTGATTTATTGGTCTGTCAGAACCACATTTGTTTACACTTTTTACCTTAGAACTAAACACTCAAATAAATTCAGCTATAAAATTAGGACTATTAATGCACATTATTGGTACCAGTGAGCAATAGATAAGTGTTTTGGACCATTTTCATTTTGAAGTAGACAGAAATGGTGTGCAGAAAGAGTGTCCATATACAGGCAGCCCTCGACTTTCGCACAATTTGCTATTTTGCACATTTTTAAAAATTCAACTTTTTAAATATTTTTGTCAATAATTAAAAAATTTACTTCCATGCAGAATGCTCGTACACTACAAAGTGCAATAGCTTGCTCTACGTTCTCGGACACATATTACTTCCTACAATAACGGACTTCTTGGAATCCTAATCACTACTGTGTTATTCCAAACAAGAGGTCAAAACAGTTTGTCTTGCATTACAGCGTGCATCAATATGTTGTGTGTGTTTTGCCAGTTTACAGTGGGTGATCAGTTAATGAACATAATCCATTCCAAGACTTTGCTCGCTATCCGAATTGTTCATTAACCAATTATTGGTTTACCATAGGTTTTTATGGAAATTTGATTAATTTTTTCTGGAAACCCCAAAAAATAAAAAAATGTATGCTTTCTTACTACATTTATTTATATGTAATAATAAAAATACATATATACACAGTCTTGCATTTTTATTAGTCATGTTTTTTTCGTTTGTGATGGTTAAAGAATCTGTCTAATGTTGATTGCTTTTCTCTTTTCTTCAAGATTTTTCAGAAGTAATTAATATCATTGTAATTGTAGAGATCCCTAAGCCTATTAACCTCAACCTGGTTTGTATGCCATTCTAAGACCGCTGTTCTGACATCCTCCCACTTCTTCAAAAAAATGTTTAATAGCAGATATTGACATTAATCCTCTTTTTCAGAAGAAAACATGTCTCTCCAACTTTCTTGGTGTTCTTCATTCAATGGTTCTTGGCATTATTCTGTCATCAGATCAGTTTCAGATTTCATTATGAGCTCTTCAACGTTCTTATTTTTCAGATGTGACTTTTGTTAATCCTTAAGCTGCTTGAGTCTTCTTGATAATACGGTATCTTTCTTAGATAAGATTGAACTGTGGCCTACTGTAGACCTGTTCAAGCCATACTGTCCAGTAACATCAGACATCTTTTGCCCACTCTATACCTTTGCTATTATACTCTCACCTTTTCAAAATAAAAACCAACACAAAGCTTAACGAGTGCCCACTTGACAGTCACGCAAACACTATAAAAAAATTTGTTTCTGTCAGAAAAATAAAAGAAGGCTGGAATTATAAGGGAGAGTTTCAAAGTTTGAAGGAATACTATGCGATCAGTATATATCGTGCTGAGTGTCGATGTCGACATCTCCCGTGCTCCAAAAAGTTTTGAATTGTTGTCTGAAGACAAGGGGAGACCAATAGGTATTCATTATTTTGTCATTTCTTATTGTGTTTGTTCTGTGAGGTGTTTGTTGTCCAAATGTAAAAATCTTTCATGAAAGTGTTTATTATCCGATTTGTTTGTTAACTGATCACTCACTGTATTTGTTTGTTTAAATATTTTGTCCTTATAAATTGATAAACATGAGTGAGAAACAGAGAAACTGCAGTGTTGATACGAACAGAAAGAAATTAAAGACTCATAAACTTCATACGATCAAGACAAAGATAGAAATAATTAAACATTCTGAAAATGGTGAATTTTTTGTTTCAATTGGACGTTTGTATGATGTAAACAGATCTATGATATGTTCAATTTTGAAAAATATGAGTAAAATTAAGGAATACATTCGAAATTGTGGAAATATATCTTCAAAGATTGTTTCCAAAAGACACGGCATGTTATAGAAATCTTTATCAAGAAAAAGAGGGGTGGTATTCAATTAACTCTTGACAAGTTTATAAAGAAAGCATCCGAAAGCACTTAAACACACCTCATTAACTTCATTATGTATACATATTGATAAATATTTTAAATCACAGTTTTTGGTGCATATTTTTTAGATCCCTCTCCTTTTGAACATTCAGCATTTGCACACACTTTCAGAAACCAATTATGTGCAAAGTCAAGGGCTGCCTGTATATAAAAAAGCAAAAAAGAAAATTATCATCAACTGTGAAAGAATTTGGGACTTTGAGTACTCTATCTGAAAAATAAGTAGGACATTTTTTGAAAAATTTGTTCTGTCTGGTTTCAGACAGAACAGAAAAGATGCATGATTGTGAGTATCTAGATGTTTTTGCATCTGTTGTTTCTTCATTGTACAGACTATTTCAAGGTTTGTGTAATGCAGAATAAGAATATTCTTGTCAAAAGAAGGTTCTCAAAGAACAATTTGGACAACAGTTATGACAAAGAATTCAAAGCAAGCAGCAAAATGAAATAGTTTTCAACAAAATCTGTAGTGAAAGTGCAGAAATATAAGATAAACATTGTTGGAATTGTCTGAAAATGCTTCAAGAAATTTTAGAATTAGCTTCAACATTTTTAATGCAGATGAAATGGACTTATTTTTTAAGTGTCTGTTGAGCAGGACAATGGATTTTAAGGATAATGCTTGTAAAAAAAGATTTTTTAAAAAAAGGCAATGTATGGACATCTCTTCTTTTGGGAGCAAATATGACAGGTAATGAATAAATCCTTGATCCTTCCAAAATGCAAAGAAAGATGAAAACAAGCATCTATGGAATATGATGCTATGACAAGAAAGCACAGATGGTATTAGAACTATTTTCCAATTAACTGTAGATGTTACATTTGTATTTCCCACGAAAATGAGAGATTATTTATTGATAACTGCAGTACATATTCAATGATTCTTCCTGAACGTTGTAATAGTTTAATTTTGGTCACCAAACATAGTATCTGAGTTGTGGATCAGGGAATTACTTGAAACTTTGAAATATAAAAAAATTGTCATACAAAAGTTATATGATATTGAAAATGAATTTCATAAATTTGGGTGCTCTGCTAGAGGCCATGTGAATGATTAACAAAGTATTGAAATGAAGTTTCACAAAGCACTGTTTGAAAGCTGCTTTTATAAAAGCAAGTCTTAATCAGAATATTTAAGCAGACTTGAAAAAATTTGTATACTTGCATATGACACAAATATAGGTTACAAAGGAAATATACTATCTTTTGGCATTAAATTTATTTACTTGACAAACTGAATACATGCAAGTATTGACATTTTGAAACATTTAAAGTACTTGCATGTGTTCAATTTATCAAGTAAATAAATTTAATGCTAAAAGACAGTATATTTTCTCTGTAAGACTTCGTTGATCTTGTTAGTACCATAAAAATGAAAAAGTGTCATTCAAGGATTTTGTCAATGTTGACAAAGATTGCTGATGTAGACATTTGAAAATGAAATTGTTGAAGTGAAAAATCAAATGTAAGAAACAATGATGATGCTTACGAAGTAAATTTTTTCATCAATACATGCTTTTCCTACATGTAGAGAAATTTTCAAAAAAATTCATATTTTTACAAGGGGCCTTGTTTTAGAAGCCATATCACATGTCAATTAAGATGTTTCCAAGATGATTGAGCACATCAAAGATACTGTTGAACAAGAAGCAATGGATCATTGATGTCAAATTTGTGTAAAAGACTTCTCTCTCTAATGGTATGACTACATTGTTTTTTTATTCCTGTGCATATCTAAGAAATAAACTTAAAGTTAAATTTTTATACATATACATATGAGGAAATATTTTAAAAATCCATGAAATTTACAATCTAATTAAAATAACATTAATTTGCATAACTTTAAACTTTGTTAAAATTTTTTCTACCTGTTACGCTTCAAATTATCAAGAGTAAATTGTATATGAAATTATTTAAAATATTTTTGAAAAAGAAGAATAAAGAAAAGTAGATTGAGATAAAGTACTTGGTTAAACTTTTGAATTTTAAATTTAAAAAAAAAAAAAAAATAGAACTTAAAAAGACAAAAATATATACTGTATATATATTTAACTATTTCAAGAATAATTGCAAAAGTGTATATTATCATCTAGAATTGAAAATATAACATAGATACATGAAAAAGTTGTTTTTAAATTTTAACAATTTTAAATATTTTTCTAATTTTTTAATATAATTTACATAAATTTAAATAAATATAAAAATATAGTTTATTGAAAATGAAGTGAGATGCAAGTAATTTAAAATTTAACAATTTAAATAATAATTTTTTAATAGGATTGGCAAGAAGGTTTAAGAACTCTTTTGCCAAATATGAATATGGGGTTTGTAAATCATACTTCTCAGCAACCAGCTCCATCGTTGGTGCCTCCTAGCCAAAAAAGTTTGTATTTTTAAGATTGATAAAAGAAAAATTAAGTAATACTTAATTGAGAATACTGTTTTAAAATAATTTACTTATTTTTAGCTTCTCTGTGGAATTCTGCATCATCAGAAATGTCCTGGATGGCACAGGATACATATTCTTCAGATGGTAAGTCTGATTTATAATTAATTAGTATTTAGTTAGTATTGATCATTTGACTATGTTTATTATTATTTTATAAGCTAATATATGTTGAGATATTGAAGTCTTTTATCTTTGATGCACAATGTTTTATAACTAAACTTTAAATATTTTTATAATTGTTCTTGTTATAGAAATTTATAATGCTTAGAAACTTTATGATGTCTTATTCAATTAAAGTAAATTAAATGTGAAATATTAAAATTTTTTATTACATATAATACTTGTTATTAAACATATTTAAAATACAGTGTTTCTGATTCTTAATCAAACTAATCTATGTATTGAAAATGAATTTATGTAGTAATTCATATTTAATGCTGCTTCATATTTTACTGTAATTAAAAATAAAAAGTAATAAAAACAATATTTGACTGTTATTCTTAATAGAAATAATTATAAGATTAATCTTTTAATTCATACTTTTTTGAATTAATAACATATTCTAAGATATTAAATCCATATAATTTGCAGTTTTTGTATCAGTTATGCTAGTTCAGTGATTTTCAATCTGTTTTAACACACACAACTCTAAAAAAGTACAGAACCTACCGGAAACCTGTCCATATCTTAGCCCCACAAAAGTTGAGATACCAATTTCTAATATTTCAAATTAAAAAATAAATACATATTTCATAAGTAGATTAACAGAACACACAACTGGAAGACACCTGATGTAGACAACATTCACAATTTCTGGTACAAAAAGTTTACATCACTGCACCAGGAACTAGCTAAACATATAACACACATCATCATCAATCCACAAGATATGCCAAAATTTCTTACTCAGGGCATCACCTACATGAAACCTAAAAACAACAACACTACAGACCCCAAACAATACAGACCAATTACATGTCTTCCAACACTCTACAAATTATTGACATCCTGTATCACAAACAAAATATACAAACATGTTGAAGAACACGACATTCTTACAGAACAACAAAAAGGTTGCCGTAGAAATCACAGGGGATGCAAAGAACAGTTACTCATAGATTCAGTCATTCTACGGCAAGCACACAAACAACACAGAAACATACACATGGCATATATAGACTACAGAAAAGCATTCGACAGTGTTCCACACAGTTGGCTGCTACATATTCTACACATGTACAAAATACATCCATCACTCATTGCATTCTTCGAAAACACTATGCAGCACTGGAGAACAACACTACATCTCAGGGTTAGTAACACTTCCATACAAACAAACGAAATATTCATTAGGCGAGGAATTTTTCAAGGAGATTCCTTGAGTCCTCTCTGGTTCTGCCTAGCCCTGAATCCATTATCCAACATGTTAAACAACACGCATTATGGCTACAATATCAGACATGAAAAAACAACACAGTTTACACTGTCACATCTCATGTACATGGACGACATAAAACTTTATGCATCCACACAAAAACAACTTCATCAACTCCTACAAATCACACATTCATACACTAAGGACATACAAATGGAGTTTGGCCTAGACAAATGCAAAAAACTTCACATAGAAAAAGGAATCCTGAAGAAAGAAGATTTTGCACTTGGAAATGGAGACGTTATTGAATCCATGGAAGAGGGCGAGTTCTACAAGTACTTAGGATTCCAACAGGCCAAACTAACAGAACATACACAAATAAAGCAACGATTAATTAAAGAATACCAAAGTAGGTTAAACGCTATACTCAGAACACAGTTAAATGCAAAACACACAGTTAAAGCAATAAACACATATGTCATCCCAGTACTCACATACTCTTTTGGAGTTATACATTGGACTCACACAGATCTCGAGCAACTCCAAAGGAAAACAAGAACAACACTTACTAAGCATAAACATCATCATCCTAAATCCGCCACAGAAAGATTAACCCTTCCACGTAAAGAAGGCGGACATGGCCTGATTGACATAGTTAACCTTCACTACAAACAAATACAGTCACTGGGAGAGCTTTTCTACAGGAAACAAGAAACATCACAATTACATAAAGCAGTAACTCTAGCAGACTCAAATAGCACACCATTAAACTTACACTCACAACATACAGACATGACAAACAAACAATCGTGGGCTCGGAAGGCACTCCACGGCAGGCATCCTTATGACCTGGCCCAGGATTTTGCTGACAAAACTGCATCAAACAGCTGGTTAGATCGGGGATGCCTCTTTGGGGAGACAGAAGGATTCATGATTGCCATACAGGATCAGGTCATAAATAGTAAAAACTACAGAAAACACATACTCAAAAATACAACACTCACATGCAGAAAATGTCATATCATACCAGAAACTATACAACACATCACTTCTGGTTGCAAACTCTTGGCACAGACAGATTACTTACATAGACATAATCAAGTAGCAAATATAATACACCAAGAGCTTGCAAAGAAACACAAATTGGTAGACATCCACGAACCATACTACAAGTATATTCCACAAAAAGTATTGGAAAACAACACGCACAAAATGTACTATGACAGAGCCATAGTCACAGATAAAGCAATTTACCACAACAGACCAAACATCACACTCATTGACAAACACAATAAAATCACATACAATATAGACATAGCCATTCCAAACACTCACAATGTACAAGACACATTCACTGAAAAAATTAGCAAGTACACAGAACTCACCCAGGAAATAAGGCATCTGTGGAGGATGGAAAGGGTGCTTATTGTACTTGTCATTCTCTCCTGTACAGGTGTGATACCACACACACACACACACACACACACACACACAAGCAAGCCTGGGAACATTACAAATGAATAGAAATACATACATCACACTACAGAAGGCCACTATATTGACTACATGCTACATTGTTAGGAAATTCCTGAATACAGACGCTGACACACTTATTTAATTTTAGTTTTTGGTTGCTATGCCTTGACTCTGGTCTGGTGTAGTTTACAGTCACCAGTGTGTACTGACTATAACCCACTAAACCTCAAATGGGCAGTTATTTATTGTTATAAATGAGCAGTTATTTATTGTGACATTGTGATAATGCTTGAATGAATTTTTAATCATATTCTTAATTTATTTAGTCTAAAATATATGCTTTCCACCTGAAATTAGTATGTAGTGTCTTGTCCCTGTATATCATACTTTTCCTTTTACAATAGAGTCGTTTCAGTCAATAACTTCCAGTTTGCATCGAAGTTCATATATATTGGGTTGTTCAGAAAGTCATTTAGTTTTTATTACTGCTAGACGGATTAGTCGTATTTTTCCCGCCATTTTCATTCTAAACCATATTATCATTATATATTTTGACAGCTAGCATTTTAAGGCTTATATGTAAAAAATTTTGTTTGATTTTGTGCAATTGTTCATATTTTGTGTCCCATCAAATACGGAAGATCGAAAGCAGCATTTTCAGCATATTTTGCTCTTTTATTACCGAAAAGGTAAGAATGCTGTTCAAGCGAGAAAAAAATTGTGTGACGTGTATGGAGAAGATGTATTGACAGAACGACAGTCCAAAACTGGTTTACAAAATTTTGTTTTGTCAATTGAAATATTGAAGATGCACCACGTTCTGGATGGCCAGTCGAAGCCAATGAAAACAAAATAAAGGTACTGATTGAAGCAAACTGCTGAATAACAGCAAATCATTAAGAGATTAAATTTGTCAAATTGAACTGTTTATGATTACTTGAAACAAATTGGTTTCATTTCAAAGCTTGATATATGGGTTCCACGTGTTTTTAAAGAGAGATGTTCTCTTTGGTGGGATTTTAAGGAAATTTTTTTGGAGCTTTTACCAGACAATTTAACAATTGATTCGAAAGTGTACTGCCATCGAGTAAACAAATTGAGTAATATCATCAAACAGAAAAGGCAACCAGAATTGATCAACAAAACAGTGTAGTGTTTTACCACGATAATGTCAAATTTCACACAAGTTTGGTAACTCGTCAGAAACTGTTATAACTTAGATGGGATGTGCTATCACACCAACCATATTTGCCAGATCAAGCACACTCAGATTATTACTTGTTCTGGTCTATACAAATTTTTTTAAACTGTAAGACATTTTTGTGAAATGACAATGTCAAAAATCACTTAAATCAGTTTTTTGTAAGCAACGATCAAAACTTTTATGAATGTGAAATCATGCTACTACAACAATGCCACAAACAATGACAACAGGTATTTGACCAAAATGGTCGATATATAATTCAGTAAAATATTTATTATAAAAACATTTTTTTTTCCCACAGAAAAAAACCGAAATTACTTTCTGAACAACCCAATAGTTAATTGTGACCTCCTGCCCCTTATGTTTTCATATCTGGTCTCGGATTTTCAAGTATCTAACTCTATTCTCAAGATTAAGGAAAGATGGGCAGATGGATGACACTGGGAATTTATAGGTCTACAATTTTTTGAAATTGTAGCCCAACAAATTGCAGGTAAACAGCATGTGTCTGGTGATAACCTTACAAGTTGCCAGATAGGTTTTATAAAAAGTAAAGCAGAATTCCTCTAATGTAACCCAAATTATTTTTAATGTGGCCCAAAAAGTAGTAAATTGCCCAAATGTAGTAGCCTAGAGACCTACAAATCTTTATCTGCTACTTGTAGCCAATCTATCAATCTCGAAAATCAATTGTATTTTATGAGATAAAAGAGGGTAGTCCATAGGTAAGGTGACACTTGAAAATGTGTTTCTGTAAAAGTAAAGTCATGTTGACCAGATTAGAGTTGTTGTTGGTCTATTGTTCTCTTATAGTATAGTATGGAGGCATTTCAATCTAAATGGACAAGTTAACATATGCATATCATGGTTTGGACAGAATTTTCACTTTGAATTTCAAAGTAGCCATATTTTGAACTAATTGAATTCCTTAATTAATTAATATGTAAATCTCTCTATCCCCAGCTGGACAAAAATACAATTACAAACTAATAGGATTTTTGAATTATCCAAGTTCAAATTAAAGATGATTTCCTGTACCTGAAACATTCCAAGTGTTTTCA